CTAGAAAAAGAGCAGGAGAAATAACATGCAAGTGTCTCAGAGCCGGCAAAAGCTGTGAAAAGAGTGACACTTCATCTCACAGAGTATGACGCAGCCTGCAGACGTGACATGCATGGTTGTTATCACCACTAGAATTACCTACTGTAGCCAAAGCAAAATATACTCATTTAACCTCTTCATTTTCTGAACTAAATCTAGGGTGTACTCATTTCTGCAATCCTTCATTTAAACAAAATTGGCTAATTTACTTATCTTACAGAAAATATTGGCATATATTTTGTTGTTTTTATTAAGTATATGTTTAAATTTTGCCATCTTTCCATGTATCATAGTAATTATATTAGTGATCATTAAGAAGATCCATCTTTTATATTTATTCAGAGGGGGTGTACTCATTCATGCTATGCACTGTATATATATATATATATGTATGTATTAAGTGTTTGGAGAAGTGCACGCTGAGGTCGGGCCGCTGGACGGGACGCCGCAGGTACGCAGAAAGAGTGGCCACGCAGTTCTTCTTGAAGTTCTCGTTCATGAAGGCGTAGACGATGGGGTTGTTGAAGGAGTTGGAGAAGCCGATGGCCTGCACCACAGCGATGATCATGTTCACCGTGACCTCGTCGTAGTTCTTCTCCAGCTCGTCTGAATCAATAACAGACAGATATTTTGATACATTAAGGCTTATTCCTTATGGTTCCGGTCCTTGATTCTGATTGGCTGAGCCATGTTCAAAGCACCTTTGTTTACGTTTGTCTGTAGCAACCACAACTGTTTCTGAGCCGCGCCATCTTTGTTTGGTGGAAGAATACTGTTTTTATTAATATCATTACACTTTATTTGCTGTTTTATTTTGTGAAACCTTACTTTTGGGAAGGGAATGTGTAACGTTTGAATAGTAAAAACAATAAGACTACCATAAATAGTAAGTTGTAAAGTAAAATAAAATATAAATATATTAATAAATATAATTTTTAGTTGTTTTTACAGTTAAATATTATAATAGTAATATTTTCTACTGTTTTGATTTAGTCATTTATAGTTGTAGTATAAGTGCTACTAAATAAAATATTATTTTAAATAATTATTAAGCAGTGTTATTAATCATCATCATCCTTGTTGTTGTTGTTACTATTATTACTTTGTGTCCAAATTGTGCAGCCTACGTAATTATGACTATTGCAAAAAAATATTATTATTATTATTATTATTTACATTCACATTGTCATTTAGCAGATGCTTTCATCCTCGTTCATGAAGGCGTAGACGATGGGGTTGTTGAAGGAGTTGGAGAAGCCGATGGCCTGCACCACAGCGATGATCATGTTCACCGTGACCTCGTCGTAGTTCTTCTCCAGCTCGTCTGAATCAATAACAGACAGATATTTTGATACATTAAGGCTTATTCCTTATGGTTCCGGTCCTTGATTCTGATTGGCTGAGCCATGTTCAAAGCACCTTTGTTTACGTTTGTCTGTAGCAACCACAACTGTTTCTGAGCCGCGCCATCTTTGTTTGGTGGAAGAATACTGTTTTTATTAATATCATTACACTTTATTTGCTGTTTTATTTTGTGAAACCTTACTTTTGGGAAGGGAATGTGTAACGTTTGAATAGTAAAAACAATAAGACTACCATAAATAGTAAGTTGTAAAGTAAAATAAAATATAAATATATTAATAAATATAATTTTTAGTTGTTTTTACAGTTAAATATTATAATAGTAATATTTTCTACTGTTTTGATTTAGTCATTTATAGTTGTAGTATAAGTGCTACTAAATAAAATATTATTTTTAATAATTAAGCAGTGTTATTAATCATCATCATCCTTGTTGTTGTTGTTACTATTATTACTTTGTGTCCAAATTGTGCAGCCTACGTAATTATGACTATTGCAAAAAAATATTATTATTATTATTATTATTTACATTCACATTGTCATTTAGCAGATGCTTTCATCCAAAGCAATTAAAATCAACAAAAGAGCAATGATATGCAAGTGCTATGACAAGTCTCGGCTAGTTTAACGCAGTACACCTAGCAAGTTTAAAAAAAAAAGTTTTATTATATAATAAATAAAAAGAAAACAAAAAGAATAGAGCAAGCTAGTGTTAGAGGCCTTTTGCTTAACCATAATGATATATTATTACAATATTTTGGTTGAATTGTGCAGCCCTACATTATTAATTTTTACTATTACAACATAAAAGACAAATATATATATATATATAGCCATATTGATACACAATCACAACATTTTGGCTAAATTGTGCAACCCTTACTACATAAATGTATTACAAAATTAATAATAATAATTGTTATTGTTGTTAGTAATCATAATAATATTAGTTATGTTTTATTAGTAGTAATATTATTTTGTAGTTATATTAATAAAATTGTGCAGCTCTACAAACCAGCACAGCAAACCTGGAATTTTATTTTTACAATTTTTAATCAATTTAATATCAGAAAAAGTACTATATATATATATGTATGTACAGCCCTACATTAAGACTAGCTTATTGCAAGTGTTATTGCATTTGAAGTGTTTATTCACAGTGTTGAGTGCTTATTAGTCTCCAGATGATGTAGTAATTGATACTGATTGAACTGATTGTGTCCTAACCAGACGTAATGTGATAAAAGCATAATGAGGATCCAAACCAGCCGCAGTCACGGTATGTGTCGATGTGTCTGGTTTAGGATGCAGTACCAGTTACCCAGAAGATGATCTGTATTATATAACTGAACTTACAGTACGGTGCTGTTGTGCTCGAGCAGCGAGAAGAGATCAGATCGAGCAGAAGCGTTTGACCTCCTTAACCCTGTGCGTGGTGGCTGGTGTTAGTCTAATGATTAATCATCTGTGATTATGTGTTCAGCCTCGATTAAGAGTGGCCCGGGCTGTTACTGAGACGCCACATAACCACAGGATACTGTAATTACAGCAGCTGCCGATAATGTGAAAATAATGTGCCTTGTGTGATCATCACAATACTACATTTCAGCTCATTCACACCGAGCTGCTGTGGTTTCTGTTCAGAGCCATTCAGCGTTCAAGCCTTGTATTCTAATCTCTAACACATCATGTGACTCCAATTACAGGAGTAAATGCTGCATTACACACTTACTGTACTCGAACAGCATGTGCACGATATGAAACGGAGCCCAGCAGATGGTGAACAGCAGGACAATAGTGATCATCATTTTGACGGCACGTTTCTTCTTCCTGTTTGAACGACAACAAAATACAGCCGTGAAGGTATGTTTCTGTAATTTCATGACGGTTTATTAATAGAAAAACTCATTTATACGATGCATTTTGCTTATGTCATGTGATGGTACTTATTTTACCCCTGTTTTACCCTATTTAAATATTTGCAGCCTTTATATAAAATGCATTAGTATTTTGAATGTCTAAATAATGCTTTGTAATTATAATGCATTGCATGATCTCATGAAAAACTGTAACTGCATTTATAATTTAGACCGTATAATGCATTAAAACATGACCGCCAATTTCAGATGCAACAAGAAATCTGCAAATATCATAATGCACTGTGTAATTACTTAGATTGAATAAATAATATTTACTATTAATGATGATTTTTGATTTTTTTACTTCATTGCCATATTTATATATAATAACTTTTTGGTTAAATTGTGCAGCCCTACAAACAAGCAAATATTTTTTTTTGTTTTTTTTGGTACACTCTAAAAAATGCTGGCTTGTTTCAACCCAACTTAGTGTCAAATATGGACTAACCCAACCGTTGGGTTAAATGTTTACATAAAATTTTTAACCCAAAAGTTGGGTTAGTCCATATTTGACACAAAGTTGGGTCATGAAAAACTGTAACTGCATTTATAATTTAGACCGTATAATGCATTAAAACATGACCGCCAATTTCAGATGCAACAAGAAATCTGCAAATATCATAATGCACTGTGTAATTACTTAGATTGAATAAATAATATTTACTATTAATGATGATTTTTGATTTTTTTACTTCATTGCCATATTTATATATAATAACTTTTTGGTTAAATTGTGCAGCCCTACAAACAAGCAAATGTTTTTTTTGGTACACTCTAAAAAATGCTGGCTTGTTTCAACCCAACTTAGTGTCAAATATGGACTAACCCAACCGTTGGGTTAAATGTTTACATAAAATTTTTAACCCAAAAGTTGGGTTAGTCCATATTTGACACAAAGTTGGGTTGAAACAAGCCAGCATTTTTTAGAGTGTAAACTCAATTGCAATTTTATATCAGAAAAATTGCAATTAAGAGTTTTTCCCCAAATTGTGCAACAATGTACTAATCCAAGGAATCTGCAAATATTATAATGCATCTTAACCTCAGTTTGTTTAGCTTTAGTTTAATTATTATTTTAATTTAGTTTAGTGAATTATTTAGTCTATTTATGAAACAATACTGCATTTAACATAGATTATGCATAATGCATTTTACATAATGGCTTCAAAAGTAATTTTATTCCATATTATTCAGCAAATCAGCCTGATTTTGACCACCAGAATTTGAATGCATGGAAACATAATATGTGAACAGAGTTATGTCGGAAGACTATAAATGAAAGCCATATTGAAGGTGAAGAAAGTTACTTGCATTTTATGTACCCGTTTAATTTGGAAATGAAAACAGTAAAATGTTAAAAACTGAAAATGATTGTGAAATTGGTCAGGAGCATGCTCACTGTAAAACAGCAGGTCTCTGTTTGTTTGGCCACTTGCCTGGAGATTTTGTTGATCTCTCTGTGGTTCATGGTGCTGAGGACGGATGAGTCTCCCACACGTTTCCGGATCCAGAGCTGGATGCCGATGCGGCTGTAGAGGAAGAGCATGGCGGCCAGCGGCAGCAGGAACAGTGCCACCATGATGAAGGTGGTGTAAACCTGACGGTGCAGCAGCGAGTGCCAGCGCTCCTGACAGCACACGTGATGATGATCGTACAGGAAGTCGTACTTCACCTGAGGAACACCGATAAGAGAGTAAACCTAATTGGTATTCACATGGAGCATGCATGAGTTTAAAGGTGCTGCAAGCTATTTATTTTAGAGTTGCATGCCTAAAATGTTCTGTTCAGGAACTGCTGAAATGTGTCTTCTAAATAAAGTCAACCCATGCTCTCTATCTGTCAAGTTTTGTAGATGTTTAGGTTTTTTTCAAGAAACTAAGTGTTGGAAGGAAGAGAGAGTTTGGTGGAGGTTGCAAAAAATTGATTATAGCACCTTTAATGTGATTGCAAACCACGTTTGAAGCAATAGTTCAGCCAAAAATGCAGAAAACCTAAGAAAAAAAATGATCACCCTCAGGTAATTTAAGATTATCAGATTTGGAGAAATGTAGCTTTGCATCACTTGCTCTGCGGTGAATGGGTGCCGTCAGAATGAGAGTCCAAACAGCTGATAAAAACATCACAATAATCCACAGCACTCCAGTCCATCAGTTAACATCTGGAGAAGACAAAATCTGAAATCCATATTATTAATCCATAATAATAACTCTTCCTCCAGTGAAAAAGTGCATCTTCTGTTGTCTCTCACATCAAAATCCAGCCACATATTTGTTAAGAACAGTTTTGGTCTGTTTTGTACGGTGGCCGAGAGAACTCAACGCGCTGCAACTTCAGAAAACACGAGCAAACAGAAAAAGCACCAGCAAATTTTAAGAAAACATCTTCATCAGTTTGACAGCACGTGCTGCAAATACTCACAACACAACCAAGTAGCACAAACCACAACAATATTAGCTCAACAAAATAAAAATTAACTGTTATATATTTATATTTGCAGTGCGTTTCTGTTTTTTGCTGTCAGCATTTGAACGCAACATTAAAACGTCTTAATGTTGGATTAGTCTCAGCTTTTGTCTTCTCCAGATGTTAACTGATGGTCTGGAGTGCTGTGGATTATTGTGATGTTTTTATCAGCTGTTTGGACTCTCATTCTGACGGCACCCATTCACCGCAGAGCATCCATTGCTTAGACACTGATGCAATGCTATATTTCTCCAAATCTGATGAAGAAACAAACTCATCCTGATCTCGGATGAACTGAGGGTGAGCACATTTTCAGCAAATGTCCATTTTTGTGTGAACTGCTCTTTTAACTTCGAATCTAGAATTGATGTGTATATTCATCTTATTTATCATGCAACGCTATTCTGGGACTACTGTTATGACACTTTTATGACATATTTGTAATCTTCCAAACTTGACAGACGTTATTAGATGGAAAAATCAGCGTAGAGTTCTTATCAGTTCATATCAGCCTGCAGCAGGGTGAGTAATGACTCGTTTGGTGAGCTCAGATAAATCAATGAATAACGTATGAACTTTTGTGATAAGACTCTCAGAAGTGAACCGCACTCGAGCGAATCTCTTCTACTGTCACCCGTTTCGTCTCCAAAGATTTCAAGGACAGACTGATGTGGCATCAGTATCTCTGATCTGCTGACGGTCCAGCTTGACTAAATGATCTTTTTCACATGTCAGAGCAATTAACCTTGCGCTTGTTAAATATTATCGGTTAACTGTGATTGTAATTAAACACTTAATCTGGCTGTCCTCAGTTTATTTTGTGATGCCACTCGCCTCTAGCTGTTGCACGAACAGCATCGGTGATCCGACCATGACAGCAGCGATCCACACCAGCCCTGTGTAGAAATCAGATCATTACTGGCTTCTGTCCCATGAGCTCGTGCTGTTAATGATGAACAGAAATGCAGCGCTGCATATACATGAACCTATCAGAGGACATCCAGACAAAAGCCCTCGGGTGAACACTTCATATTTACACATGCAAATGAGCTAATGCTTTCATTGTGTCACTGCATTGCCCTGCAGAGAGAGATTTACATGTTTAATGATGGTCTTCTGCTGTTATTTTCTCCATAGGAGAATTGATTTTTAACATTAACTCATTAAAGCAGACCTGCTGTGAGCTTGGGTCATTAATTAATGCTATTAATCATCTATAAGTCATCAGTGTGCATTATTACAACTTAAAAAAATGTTTAACAGTACTTACCCATGATTCTGCAATTATTTCCAATAATCAGAAAATTGTGGCAAGAAAATTGTAACAAAATAACTCATTTGTGTCTGCTCACAAATTATGTAAGTAGTCTCCATTTGCTCGATGGAGCATAATATTTATTATAATCATTTATTAATATTTATGCTGTAATTTCCAACTGTAAATATATCAAATTAGTAATATGCATTGCTAAGAACTTCATTTGAACAACTTTAAAGATGATTTTCTCAATATTTAGATTTTTTTGCACCCTCAGATTCCAGATTTTCAAATAGTTGTATCTCAGCCAAATATTGTCCTATCCTAACAAACCATACATCAATGGAAATGGCTTATTTATTCAGCTTTCAGATGATGCATAAATCTCAATTTTGAAAAATTGACACTTCAGACTGGTTTTGTGATCCAGGGTCACATATCACATATGATTTACTGCAGAAGAACGTTTGTCCAGAGGGAATGAGAGCAGCACAAACCCCTGAATTATTGAGGATTTAAGGTGTGTCACTGAACACTGCTCCATTCACGTCCATTGACACGTATACTAATGCAGGAGAGCAGAAACTCAAGCACACGGTGAAGAAAGTAAGTTCTAGTTTGATGACCTCTGAACTTGCTCAGTCTGCAGAACTGCATAATTTACAGGTTTATGGGAAAATTAGCATGCTTAAAACCTGTGCCGCTGCATCAGTTGTGAGTGGGTGTGTGTGTGTGTGAGTGTGCGTGTGTGTGTGTGTGTGAGAGTGCGTGTGTGTGTGAGAGTACGTGTGTGTGTGTGTGTGTGTGTGTGAGAGTGTGCGTGTGCGTGTGTGTGTGTGTGTGCGTGTGCGTGTGCGTGTGCGTGCGTGTGCGCGTGCGTGTGCGTGTGCGCGATAAATTAATAAACTAAATGTATTTAATAAATAAAAGTTGAAATATAAAAATGACAAATAAATAAAATTTAAAAAATGTTAACGTATTGATTTTATGTGAATGTGAATTTCATGTTTCACTTTAAATTATTTAAATTATTAATTAAATGTTCCCATTTTAAATAACCTTTTATAGTGAATTTTATATGCTCTTACAATTTGACAAATGAGTTTATAAACCTACTAATATTCCATGTAGCCTCTTAATTAATATGATCTCATAAAACAACATCTACGGTATATGATAAATTAGGAAAATATTTAGAACATTGACTTGACACTGAATGTGAAATATTACAGTTTAGCATATTAAAATATGAAATGTTTTAGGTAAAGTGTTTGATTTATGTGCAATTCACAAATAACATAAACTCAACATCTGTATAGAGGAAAATGTGTTTTAGATGCATGCTCATCTAATCCTGCAGAAGAATTGCGTATTCTAATTAATATGAGCCCATATACTATTGAACATAACTGAATTATACATATGAAATGTTTGAGATGAAGAATAGTGTAGCATGTCATTGCAGGACAGCAAACTCTTCTAACCTGTCAACTACCCATCGTCATATTTTGTTAACGACTAATTAAAGTGATCCTGACCTCCCAGCCACTCAGAAGAGATGTTCTGCAGCAGTGTGAAGGGGATGCAGAAGAAGGTGATGAGCAGGTCGCTGACCGCGAGAGAGCAGATGAAGATGTTGGTGGCGGTGCGCATCGCGCGTTTACGCACCACGATATACACCACCAAACTGTTCCCGACCAGCGCCAGCGCGAAGATAATCACGTACATCACGACGAACGTGGTTTTGGCTCCGGCAGGGAGTTCTGGGATGTAGACCAAAGGCTGGATGTTGTAGGTGTGGATGAATTCCCGACGCGAGAGGTTGTAGTGCTGCAGGAGTTCCTGGAGAACCTCCGGGGTGATCTTCGCAGTGGCCGTCATCTCTGTAGAAGAAGACATGTCCAGCTTACACTGATCACGCAGGAATGGGATGCTCTGCTCCTTCTGCTGCTCAGAAGCGTCTGTGGAGAGCGCCAGCGCGCGCGCAAGTATGTAGGCTACTGTATGTGCCAAGAATAGACTACTTTTTTTTGGCCAACCTTGTAAGGTTGGATTTCCACTTCATGAAGTAATGAACTTAACTACAAAAAAAAACTATAGTTAAACTACAAACTAACCATGATTTTGCAACACTAACCATAGTTCAACGATGGTATTTGTTGTAAAACTGTGGTTATACAAATGGTAACCAATACGCCAAAAAACCAGGGTTACTACACGATTACTACAATAAACCCATGGTTCATTTGCATAAGGGATTTTTATTTATTTATACATTTCGCGTGCTTTACGTCTAGCTAAACTAAATTAGGCTGCGTAATTTAATCACATATCAAATACTGTTACACTTCATTTTAAGGTGTCCTTGTTACAGTGTAATTATACATTTAAGTACTGAGTAATATTAATTAACTACATGTACTTACTATATGGTTTGGTTTAGGGTTACTTGCATGTAATTATGCATAATTAATTGTTATTATAATAGTAAGTGCATGCGATATGTGTAACAAGGACACCTTAAAATAAAGTGTTACCCAAAATAAATGTAATTGTAATCAGTTACTGAGAACAAAAGTGAAATGACATTATAGTTACTTCTGAAAATGTTAACGATTACAAAGGGGGGTTACATCTGAATTTTTCACACACATACAGATTTAATTGATTTCTTTCCCAAAATGCACTGACTGCTCTAAAATATATATGAGACACATGTTTCAGGAGTTTAGGAAACAGAATAGGACACATGCTTATTCGATACCCGTTTTATGTATATATGCTTTATTTTTTAAGATTAACAGTTTTTTTTCCAAACAGTATCATAGCTATTAAACGATTTCTTGTTATGATTTTAAATCTGTATTTAACCTCGATCTCAGAGTAAGAAGAGTCTGATTTTGTGGTGGCTGTGCTTTAAAATTCAATTACTATAATCTTAATTCAAGCGATGAAGGATTCTGAAAGTCTGACAGTAATCAGTCTTGAGTACTGCTGTAAGGTTAACCCTGCCTGCTTTAAATGTTAATGTGATTATAGAAATGTATAAAAGTAATCAAATGTAATCAGTTACATTACTTTAATAAATTAATTGAAATAGTTACACTACTTATTACATTTTAAGTAGGGTAATATATGTAATCTGTAACCTATTACATTTCCAAAGTAACCTTCCCAACACTGTATACAAGTAATCCAAAAGTAGTCAGAATACATTACCTAAAATAACCAACCTGTAAAGCAACCAGCACTCTCTCTCTCTCTCCTTCTGTCTGCAGAGAGAAACTGTATTTCACGCATTTATGCAATGTTCTAGACTTGAGCCTTTGTTTACCTGTGAGTGGGTGTGTGTGTGTGTGAGTGTGCGTGTGTGTGTGTGTGTGAGAGTGCGTGTGTGTGTGAGAGTACGTGTGTGTGTGTGTGTGTGTGTGTGAGAGTGTGCGTGTGCGTGTGTGTGTGTGTGTGCGTGTGCGTGTGCGTGTGCGTGCGTGTGCGCGTGCGTGTGCGTGTGCGCGATAAATTAATAAACTAAATGTATTTAATAAATAAAAGTTGAAATATAAAAATGACAAATAAATAAAATTTAAAAAATGTTAACGTATTGATTTTATGTGAATGTGAATTTCATGTTTCACTTTAAATTATTTAAATTATTAATTAAATGTTCCCATTTTAAATAACCTTTTATAGTGAATTTTAAATGCTCTTACAATTTGACAAATGAGTTTATAAACCTACTAATATTCCATGTAGCCTCTTAATTAATATGATCTCATAAAACAACATCTACGGTATATGATAAATTAGGAAAATATTTAGAACATTGACTTGACACTGAATGTGAAATATTACAGTTTAGCATATTAAAATATGAAATGTTTTAGGTAAAGTGTTTGATTTATGTGCAATTCACAAATAACATAAACTCAACATCTGTATAGAGGAAAATGTGTTTTAGATGCATGCTCATCTAATCCTGCAGAAGAATTGCGTATTCTAATTAATATGAGCCCATATACTATTGAACATAACTGAATTATACATATGAAATGTTTGAGATGAAGAATAGTGTAGCATGTCATTGCAGGACAGCAAACTCTTCTAACCTGTCAACTACCCATCGTCATATTTTGTTAACGACTAATTAAAGTGATCCTGACCTCCCAGCCACTCAGAAGAGATGTTCTGCAGCAGTGTGAAGGGGATGCAGAAGAAGGTGATGAGCAGGTCGCTGACCGCGAGAGAGCAGATGAAGATGTTGGTGGCGGTGCGCATCGCGCGTTTACGCACCACGATATACACCACCAAACTGTTCCCGACCAGCGCCAGCGCGAAGATAATCACGTACATCACGACGAACGTGGTTTTGGCTCCGGCAGGGAGTTCTGGGATGTAGACCAAAGGCTGGATGTTGTAGGTGTGGATGAATTCCCGACGCGAGAGGTTGTAGTGCTGCAGGAGTTCCTGGAGAACCTCCGGGGTGATCTTCGCAGTGGCCGTCATCTCTGTAGAAGAAGACATGTCCAGCTTACACTGATCACGCAGGAATGGGATGCTCTGCTCCTTCTGCTGCTCAGAAGCGTCTGTGGAGAGCGCCAGCGCGCGCGCAAGTATGTAGGCTACTGTATGTGCCAAGAATAGACTACTTTTTTTTGGCCAACCTTGTAAGGTTGGATTTCCACTTCATGAAGTAATGAACTTAACTACAAAAAAAAAACTATAGTTAAACTACAAACTATCCATGATTTTGCAACACTAACCATAGTTCAACGATGGTATTTGTTGTAAAACTGTGGTTATACAAATGGTAACCAATACGCCAAAAAACCAGGGTTACTACACGATTACTACAATAAACCCATGGTTCATTTGCATAAGGGATTTTTATTTATTTATACATTTCGCGTGCTTTACGTCTAGCTAAACTAAATTAGGCTGCGTAATTTAATCACATATCAAATACTGTTACACTTCATTTTAAGGTGTCCTTGTTACAGTGTAATTATACATTTAAGTACTGAGTAATATTAATTAACTACATGTACTTACTATATGGTTTGGTTTAGGGTTACTTGAATGTAATTATGCATAATTAATTGTTATTATAATAGTAAGTGCATGCGATATGTGTAACAAGGACACCTTAAAATAAAGTGTTACCCAAAATAAATGTAATTGTAATCAGTTATAGTCAGTATTGGGGAAAGTTACTTTTAAAAGTAATACATTACAATATTGCGTTACTCCATAAAAAGTAACTAATTACGTTACTTAGTTACTTTTTATGGAAAGTAATGCGTTACGTTACTTTTGCGTTACTTTTAAAATCTGGACAGGGCTCGCTTGTTTGTTTTTAAAGTAAAAAGTTTTTTTTTTGGCAAATATAAAAGCTTTTCACACCAAAAGTGAAAGGAATAAGCCTCAGGCTGAAGGAAATGCACAGTAGAATGCAGAAGAAGACATTTCAACACACTTCAGCAATAAACAAAGACACACAAATGTTTGTCTAGAGTAATTAGTGCTTATTAGTACGGCTGAACTGGATCATCGAAGGTCAGAAGCTAATAGAATGGGATTAAATACATAAAGCATATTTGTGATGTTTAACATTTAATTATTGCAGGTTTGCGTCATATTCTGAGTTGCATTATTTTTATTAATTTTGAGGAATACTGAATCTGTGTTTTTTGTGAGTGAGATGAATTAATGCATATTCATATTTATTTCAGAACTACAGTAACATCTGATTTCTCAGCATGGGGACAGAAGAGCTGCCAATCAATAAATTGGAAAAAAAGTAACTTGCGTTACTTATTTGAAAAAAGTAACTCAGATATTCTCTTGTCAATTAAAAAGTAATGCGTTACTTTACTAGTTACTTGAAAAAAGTAATCTGATTACATAACTCACATTACTTGTAATGCGTTACCCCCAGCACTGGTTACAGTTACTGAGAAACATTGTGTAATTAAATTACAGCTACTTATGAAAATGTTGACGATTACAAACGGGGTTACATCTGATTTATTTTTTCACACACACCCACATACAGATTTAATTGATTTCTTTCATAAATGGCAGTGACTGCTCTAAAATATGAGACAGCGGTGTTTCAGGAGTTTAGGACACAGAACAGGACACATGCTTATTCCATAGCTGTTTTATTTCTTATTTTGCTTTATGTATATGCTTTATTTTTTAAGATGAACTGTTTTTCCAAGGCATTGTTAGATGCCATGTTTCCTGTCGTAGATATGCAAATATTTGATTTCATAGCTACTAAACTAAATCTGCATTTAACCTCAGAATGATCTCAAAGTAAGTCTGGTTTTGTGGTGGCTGTGCTTTAAAATTCTATTATTATAATCTTAATTACATTTCCAAAGTAACTTTCCAAACACTGGTTACCAACATATGGTAACAAACATGTATAAAAATCTCAGTTCCTAATTTTGTTATTTTCTAACACTAAACATTAAATAACATTCAAATTAAATTTCCTAGGTTAATAGTTATTTGGGATTTCTGCGGGATCCTAAAGCTTGCCCTTGCACAAACTAAGGCTGATGATACATGGGGCAACTTTTTCAGCAATTTTGCCAGGCAGCTTTTTTTTGAGCATCGTTGCTTGGGCACTTTCCCACTGAGAATGGGTAACAAATTTCTATTTGGATATTTTAGATCAGTCGTGATGTCTCACCTGGTTGCCCGTTGATGGCAACATTGCTCAAAAAGTTGCCCAGTGTATCATCAGCCTAAGGCTTTAAAAGTTCTCATATTTATAGCAGAAAGTCGTAATAAACTCATGGTATTAAATATTGCATGCACTGCAGAAAAACAAGCATTTTTGCAGTAAATCCATTAAATCAAGCTTCTTAAGATGCAAAATAAACATATGAAGTCTTGTTTTCAGAGAAATTGAACACATTTTTTGTGTGTGTGA